CTTATAATTTTCTCCTCGAGGTATACGCGCTCTTCCCATCTTGAATCTTCATCCATAAAATCTTCACCATCTTGATGTGCATTTAAATCTTCTTCATCTGTACTTTCTTCTAACTCATTTGTGCCTCTTGCATAAAATTTCTTGACATGAGAAGCCGCATACCTTCGCCGTAATTCAGTACCGTCTAATTCTTCTAAAATAAAAGATCCCATATGTAATTGTTCTTTGACTTTATAAGGTCCATTCCATCTGTTTTCAAATAATTTACCCCATTGACTTTCTAAAGATGCATTATAAACTAAAACCATATCACCAACTTCCAAAGGACTTTTCCTTAATTTGTGCGCATTTTTCTTATCCCAATACCTAACACTTTCTTCTCTAACTCTCATCATTTTACTATAAGCATTATCCATCATTTCTTCTCTTCTTAATAGTTGTTCAGTTCTTGCTTCTAATAATTCAGCTCTTGTATGTACTTCTTCCCAATTAACTCCTAAGAAAGTTCCAGCCTCAACATCAACAGGTAAGACCGCTCTTTGACCAAAAACCATCTCATAAGGTGAAATTCCTGTAGTTCTCTTTGTTGAAATTCTATCTGCAAATAAAACCATTGGTAAAGTCTTCCGCCAAGCACTTGGATTTGTACTACACATTTTGACTAAGGTATCCTTGATTGGCTTGTGACCTCTCTCAACCATTCCAGCTGCCTGTGGATAATAAGGTGTAACAATTCTAAGTTTTGCTCCACAACTTTCAACCGCCTTGACTAATTCATCTTTAAATTCGCCACCTCCATCAACTGTAACCATTTTAATTGCACCATACCTAAATATCCATTCTTTTTCTAAAAATTCAGCAACCTGATCCGCCTTTAAATTGACCAAAGGTACCGCTTCAACCCATCCTGATAAATCATCTCTAGCAACCACTAAGTATTTATGTTGTCCAGCTTTAATATGTACAGCATCCATACTAATTCTACCAAATAAAGTAGCTTCACCTGTAGCATGACCCAATTCTTTATGTGTTAAAGAACTCCGCTTTTGACAAGCTTCACAACTTTGAACCCATTCCCGCACAGACTTCTTCAAACTTGGCCACCAAAACCTAAGTACTATTCTTCTGTAAGTTTCTTCAACTCCTCTATGACCTAAACCTTCATGTAATTGTTCTAAAATCCAATCTTGACCTTCAACATTTGTAACTACAACCTGAGCCATAGGATTTTGCCGCCGCATTAACCTTCTATTATCCAAATAAAACTTATCACTCTTCCTCTTAATTGATTTAAATTCTTCATCACTAATATCTTCTGGTCTGATTAAATTTTCTAAGTAATTGACTAAGTGTTTCCAGAATCCAACTTGTTCCCATCTTGCGTCACCATCAAGTAAATCTTCATTGATAATTAAATCTCCACAATAAATTCCAAAATCATAATCATTGTTTGCAACATCAATAAGTTTCTTCTCTTCATTAAATTCCTCAGCATCACTATCTAAATCACTATCTCGAGGTCTGCGTGATAAACCATCTGGCATAGTAAAAGTCTTACCCGCTTTATGAACCAAGTCAAAAGAAAATAATTGAATAAAAGAAACCCATCTTGTCATAGGAGCATTAGGTAAGTCAGGAGTATTAATCATTTGAATCAAAGCTTTAGCATCTACTTGTAACTCAAAATGTTGACCCCATAAATGAACTTGTAATTTCTTCAAAATCTTTGCAACTCCACATAATTCTAATTTTGGTTGTGAGTACCTTGATTCAACTTCAGTAAATGTAACAGATTCATACAACACTGGTCTATCTTTCTTAATTTTATCTTCTTGAGTTAATACCGCACCAGCCGCAATATAACTTGAATCAACTGCTAATTTTAATTTACCCGCACCTTCACCATAAGTAATACTCTTCAAAGTAATTTCTCTACCTACAATTTCCTTCAATTGTTCAAAAACATCTTGACATACACTATCCCAATCCCAATCAACTCCCTTCCTTGTTAATCTTCTTAAAGGAGATGATAACTCAGAGAAACCTTCAATAAACATTCTTACATAAACACATACACCTAAAAAGCCTCTAATTTGTCCTGGATCTTTTGGTACTGGCCAAGTTTGAATTTTGTTCCTCTTCTTAACTGAAATAGTGCGCCCATGAAAACCAACTACATGTCCTACAATTTCTAATTCAGGTACACATGCAGCAAACTTCTTTCCTGAAACCGTAAGTCCAGCTTCCTCAATTCTGAATAAAATTCTTTCCAATGTAACCGCATACTCATAAATAAATCTTCTGATACCTTCATTTTCAAATAAAACTTCATTGTCATAATCATCTCTGGGACCCATAATTCCACCATCATCAATAAATACACCCGCATGTTCAGGAATCTCATCTTGTAAAATCCACATCATTTGAGCTTGATAAACTGCAACTGAATTTGTTGCCCCTTGAGGAAGTCTAGTTAATTGAAATCTACCTAAGGGAGTCTCAAAAGTAGTCAAAGGTCTTGACTCAACCGCCAATTCCCTCTCATCATAACCACCCATAATATCACCAAGTCCATAACATGACCTTCCTGCAAAAGCTTCAACAAATTCTTCTGGAGCCGGTGGTACACCTGCATCCTTAATTGTAACTTTATTTAACTCTTGTAAATCATGAACTACTCTAAGTTTTCCATCATGCTTAATTACACAAAATACTGGGCTTGAATAACTTGAAGTACTTTGCTCGTATAAACCAGTTCTCAATCTTTGTCTGACTAATTCAATATATTCATGTCTTTTAGCTTTAGGAATTGGAATAACTTTCTTCTGCCAAGGTTCATGATCAACCACAGGAATAATATAAGGTAATCCATATTCATGTCTTAAAACACCTCTTTCACTTTCATTAAATGCAATTGATTTTTCTCTTAAGACAATAACATGTAAAATTAATTTCATTTCTTCACTACTTAACCAACCAGGCGGACCAAAATTAACCATCTTAAGTCTTTCTTCAGTAACCTTTTCAGTTTCCATAAATTCAGGAGGAGTCTTGAGAACAGGAGTTTCATAAGGATCCCTCGACAGAGATGGTCTTTGAAGTGGAGGATTAAGAT